GACAGAAGTTTTTCCTGGACTCTCTTCTTGGAAGGCACGTGTTGTGCTTGCTCCTTGTTCTGTGTAGTAATGTGTGTCAGCAGTGCCATGCCAGCAGCATGAAACTGAGGAGATGCAGCAGTTCATTAAAGAGACTAGTCAGGTGACTGCTGGGGAGCAACATGACCATGTATGTTGAGAGCCGTCACCGTAAGCGTTTTCCTCTATCTTTACAGGCCACATCTGTGAATCCTAAGTGACTTCTTCCCCTGAAGATTCATAGTAGGAAGAAGTCAGATGCAAGTCACCTGCCCACTGACATGCCCCACCACTGAGCACTGAAAGGTTCCTTGCTACAGTTGGCGGGAGGCTCTGAACGGAGGGTACGGCAGATGGTAACAGCAGGGCATGCAACTCGTTCCTCAGAGGTGAGCCTCGGTGGGCTGCCTATGGGCAGAAGGAGCGCCGTGAAGATTCCCCGGAACAAATGTCTACAAGGGCAGGGCTGATCGCAAATGCTTTGTAGTAACATCAGAATTCATTAAATAGAAATGAGATATTTTCTAAGGAGACTGCCAATCCGTACAAGAGGATCACACTGAGAGATTCTGAAAAGGTTGTATGTCCAGTAGCATGATTACTTTCATATTCTATGTGGAAAGAATGCCCCTTTCCTACAGGACTTGAGGAGTCCCATCTATAAAAATACTGCCACTTCCATGAGCACAGCCACAGTGCTCTTGTCTGCACGCTGTGGGACATCCATTCTTGTGCCTTGCGCCAGGCTGGCACTCAGCACACATTTGTGGAGCTGAATATACAGAAATGAGGTAAGTGGTAGGAATAACCGGCAAGCTCATGAATTATTAATTTCATGTCAACTAGTGGATTATTCCATTTCCCTTTTTCCATGAAAAAACTGAGTTTTGGGTTTTGGAGAGTGGGTTAGGAAGTCATCTGTTCCAGGATACTTCCCTTATTCCAAAATACTACATATTAATGATAAGCACGGACCATTATATAATGAAAATATGCTCTGATCTCTAAAGATTTCTAATTCATACCAGAAATGTGAGCTTAGTTAACACTGGCCCATAATAGCCTAAATATTTCACTTTAAGTAATGTACAGAGAATTATGTGTGTGCACGTACATGCTATTATGGACTAACTGTGTCTCCCCCAAATACATATGCTGAAGCTCTAAACACCTAGTGTGTTCGTATTTAGAAGTGGGGGCTTCAGGAGGTAAGTAGGTTTAGATCAGGTTATGAAAGTGAGACCCTCATGACAGCGTTTGCGCCCTTACCTTTAGAAAGAGGAAGAAACACCAGAGTTCTCTCTCTGTCTCTAACCACACACATACACCCACGGAAGGCTACGTGAGGACCCAGGGAGAAGGCCATCTCCAAGCTGGGAAGATGGCTCTCTCCCAGAACCCCACAATACTGGCACTCTAATCTCAAGATTTTCAGCCTCCAGAACTCTGAGAAATAACTTTCCATTGCTTACGCCACCCTGTCTGTAGTACTTTCCTTCGTTATAGCAGCTGAATTAACTAATACACACGTTTAAACATAGGAAGAGAAGAGTGCTCACTTGCTGAGGATGTTGCCTCAGGAAGTGGGCTAGTTGTCTCCTAAGAGGGTCAAGGTAAATATGCTTATACCACATCCTGCGGCAGTACTTTTCAGTCTTTTCTCACCCAGTCTCTCCCATAGCTGATAAATAGAAAAGTTTTGCACCCTGTTAATACCCCTTGAAATTAAAAACAAAGTCAGTCCCTTGATGGGAAGGAGACTGGAAGAGCACGACAAAGAGCCATACAGGTTCCCAATCAGCCTCTCCTCTGCTTCCTCAGTGATGGGCCAAAATCTCATCTCAGCTTTCCTGGCTTAGAAACCTGATTTCATCAGCACTTTGAAGCAGAGCCATCCCTTGGGGCAGACTCACATCAGCAGAGCTCACAAGACTGATGTAAAACACCAGAAGGTCAATTTGTTAGTTGACAATGAGCTCTGTAAACATCGCCTAGGCCAGGGGACTCGCGCCAAAAGCACCAGTGCATGCTGTTCCTGTTGGTAGACCTCCGGCAGCAGCTCAATCCCACATCAGAAGGTTACGGTGAGCATGGAATCAGGACAAGAAGCATGAGATGAATCAAATATCGACAGGCATGAGGCTGAGCTAGCCTGATGCATCCATTTCCTCAGTTGGATGATCTTGCCAATAAAGCCATCCACCGTTGGCTGCAGTTCCCTGCATCCTTCCCCATAACACCAACGTCCTTGCCAATTCAACTGCAATACTCTGAGATTTTGGCCTCGGGTTCTCTCTCCTCTGGACGGTGTCTGGATGGGCACTGCCAACTTTTGCCTCTGTGGCTTTTTTTTTTTCCTATACTACTTTGGGTGACCAATTGTTTAGATGTTTTAATACACTCAATCAGGTTACAGGGAAATCTTGCTGTAATATACCTGTGCTATTTCTTATGATCACTATATATATCTTTGTGCAGGATCCCAGGTCATTTGAAAATTTAACTCTCAAAGGGAAAGGTCAGATCTAAGTTCTTGGGGGATGACTTACTGTGCCACTTGTACACGTGACGAGTAAGGTTTCTTTGTGTGTATATGTGTAATTATCTACATGTATACTCATATAACTCCACTTGTATGCTTTTTATTATTTGTTAGAACTTAACCCTTTGGGTGACCATCCCCATGGGTCTATTTTTTCCTTAGTTTTTAACTGAACTGTAGAATAATGCAGTTTTGAACTAAAAGCAAAATTAGATTTAACTAATGGCAAATATCTGAAAATATTGCCAATGCTGGGAAAAAGCGTTCAAAATGTAAGGTAGAGCAGACCTCCTTTATCCCAGGGCCAACAACTTCTATGCACGACAAATGCATTTCAAACAATGGAAATATTTATATCTAAGATACATAAATTAAATGAGAAGCCTGATTTTAAAAAAGTACTTGAAAGCCCTTTTAGAAATGTCTGATTTGATCGCCCTATAAATGCAGAGTGGAAAGCTTGAGTTATGCTCCCTTGAGAAGATCAATAATACTTAGTACAGAAAAGGCTTTCTATCCAGTTGCTGAGGGAAGAGTTGGCTGTGGGTCAAAGGGGACTGCAGCCTTCCCCTCAGCCCTTGTCTTAAATAGACCCGTTGTCAACTTGCGCTACTGTGATGTATTCATTACTGATGGACAACTTGCTGGTATGAAGCTGGTATGTTAGCAAAGAGGGTGGAATTACAGTTTCCCACAATATTTTCTTCCCTCAAATGCTTTTAGGCCATAAAAGGCTTTTAAAACCACTTAGTCTGGGAAACTGAGATGACCTTCAGTATCATTTACCTCTTGGTAACACCTAATAGAAATCTATAGGGACCCTGTCCCCCAAGAGAATTAGCAACAGAACCTAGAAATTACCATCTGCAGACAACAATACTAAGTTTGTTTGCTTTCAGAGAGGCTCAAGCCTAGGACTACTTCATGGAGCAGCACCGATCTCCTGAGTACTGAGCTGCTTCCCAGTGGTAGTGCCATTGGGGAGGGAACAGGACAGTACCTCTTGGGTGGCTGCACTCTATCTGCAGCTGTCACACCAACAGGTAGTGACCAATAATATACTTAAGCATCAGGGAAGTGTGAGTTCATGACACACCAGTAAATAGTTTATTCCTAGCAGAGGTCACTGCAAAGAATGGAGGGTTCCCCTTTCTTAATTATATACATATACATTAAATGGTTGAAGTCTCATTCAGAGGCTTAAAAAAGAGGCACGCTAAAGAAAACACCCATTACCATGGTTGTCTCCCTGGAGTTGAACTATTACAGAAGTCCCTCTGACAGCTCTATCACTCAGCAACAAACAGAATGAGTCCTTTTTAGTCTCTCTCATGTAAAAATGGAGTCTTCTTCCCCTAGACTTTTACTGTCTTCACTCTTTGTAGGAGAAAAAAAATCACCATGTCCTTTACCTTCTCATTCCTCCATCCTTTATTACAGCCAACTTTCTAGCTTTTGTATGGATCTTGCTACACTGTTCACTTTGACCTGCCTAGTTCATTTAGTGAGTTCCAGGATTATATTACCTTTACTGGAACCAAACATGGATTGAACACCTTTGTTGTTGTACAGGTTGCTAATTTTCCAGCTTGAGTTCATAGAAACCAATGTGGAAAAATCCTTTACCAAGAAAATACAAATTTTGGTATGTAGAAACTTATAGAGCATTTATTTTGATCCCTTCATTTAGAAATCTGTTGATCCCTCAATCACTAGGAAGATGTTTCTAAAACAATGAAGAAACATAAATAAAAAAGCGGCTAGAGTATTATAGAGAGGGATGGAAACAATCTTCTAAAAAACCACTAGGAAGTGAGTTAAATATTTAAACCTACTGCAAATATTTGTGTATTGTTACTTTATTACATTTGAGAGGTAGATGATCTGGACTGAGACTGATTTTTTTTTTTTGAGGTTGTTATTTTAATTTCTTCTACCATGACTTGGATTTTCCTGTTAATATATGCATATTAGTCTGCCTTTAAGTGTGTATGTCCCTACCTAACCACAGTCCTTTGAAATCCAGTTTAGAAATATTAAAAAAAAAATAGTCACAATAGTTATTGGTTCATCTCTTACTACCGCTAACGGTATTGTTATACCTGCCTCTGAATTTGAAATGTTTGTGACGACATCCACGACAGTCACTAACACACTAATGCAATTTCTTAGAATCAGGTATTTCTTTGTGATTCCCATCTCATTTGATGCTATCAGCTCAAAGTTTGTTGCTGGGAGTCAGGAGGCAGGAAGGGAGAGACACTGGGGAATAAACCAAATCTCCAGCACTAACACTCAGACTTCAAATACTTAGCACTTTTTATACCTACTTGTTTTGTAGTATTGCTGGTATTCACAGACCTTTATGGAAAAGGGAAAAAAAAAAAAGGAAACCGAAGGTCCAACTCCTAGCTCTCCCATCAGTGGGCAATGGTCTCACCTGGCTGGTAGAAGTCAGGCGACAGCTCCCTGGCCACAGCTCTTGCGATGTCACACTCCTGGCGGGCAGCCTGGGCAGCCTGGTCGGCGGCGTCAGCTTTGGCTCTTGCGTGTGCAGTCCTACATAGGGCAGAAAGGGGAGTCAGCAAGGGGGGCGCCTTGTTCATGACACGTGGACAAGCACACGGTCTGCAGCCTGGGGAAGAGCCACGCTCACTGTGGTCATGGTCCGGCACCTCCCCTGCAAGTTTTATGGTCACATTGTTGTGAGCCATCGATGAAGACAACATGGGTGGAACCACCTGTATAATGCCTCAGTCCTCCTTTCAAGGGAAACGAAAAGGGTGAGCAAGTTCTGCGCAGCTTGATGCAAAGCCTGGTTTTCAAAACTTATGGGTTGAAGCTCCTGCTGCCTTTGGCTGGCAGCTCCCCCCGCCAACCATGGAGAGTAGAGGTAGAGCTTAGGAATACAGTGTTCACGAATTTATTTCCTGCAGCAGAATCTATATAAGAATTTGATCAAGGGGATCCCTGGGTGGCTCGTGGTTTAGCGCCACCTTCAGCCCAGGGTGTGATCCTGGAGATTGGGGATCGAGTCCCATGTCGGGCTCCCTGCATGGAGCCTGCTTCTCCCTCTGCCTGTGTCTCTGCCTCTCTCTCTCTGTGTGTCTCTCATGAATAAATAAATAAAATCTTAAAAAAAAAAAAAAAAAGGATTTGACCAAGAGGGTTTGCCCCATAGAACGCTGGAAAAAAGTAACTCTGGAAAAGAAATAGCTTTGGTTTCCACGGTTAAATACTCCCTCTATGACCAATTCAAGTGACCAGTGTGATGTCACTGGACGCGCAGTTGGGAAGAGACACACACAACAGGCTCTCGCCAGCCTGTAGAAGCAGAGCGCCAGGTCTGCACTTAAGAATACGCTCAGGAGGTTCTAAGGAGCCCATTTAATTGATCAATTAATTCTTGTGAAACAGGAGGCCGAGGTTGGAAAGAGGAAACAGAAGTCTCTCAATCTTCTACCTGCCCCCTGGCCCATCCTCAGTCATGAAACCTCCTGTCTTTCCAGAGGACTAGGGTGAGGGAGAAGGCAGTAGGTTTAGAGAAGGGGGCTGTTTATGGCAACACAGGAGAACTAATGTCCACGTGCCCAAGAAGAGAGGATTCAGAGGGTAAGACAGAGAACTCTAGGTCATCCACTTCCAAAGAACACCTTGTCCAGTCAGTATTTAGATGATAATCATGGGCATCTATTTCTTCTAGTTTTGCTAACTTTCTATTCTAATTTTACTAGCACCAGGCAGGGCTTTAAGTAACTGTAATAAAAGCTTAATGAAAGTCTGAAAGAGGTGCCTGCACTTATTTTAGAAACAGCAGGAGATGGGAGCACCTGGGTGGCTCAGTCAGTTAAGCGTCTGCGTCTGTGTTTGGCTCAGGACATGATCCCAGGGTCCTGGGATTCAGCCCTGCACTGGGTTCCATGCTTAGCAGAGAGCCTGCTTCTCCCTCTGCCTGCTGCTCGCCCTGCTTGTGCACACTCTTTGTGTCAAATAAATAAATAAAATCTTAAAGAAGAAAAAGGAAAGAGAGAAACAACAGGAGAGAAAAAGTTGAGAAGCAAAATTGTGTCCCAGCAGTTCTTAGGAGAGAAAAGGCAGGTGGCAAGTGTGGAGGAGGTCAGCAGATGGAATTCCTGGGACTAGCTGCAGGAAGGAAGCAGGGAAGTTGCGGTCTGCCCTGAGACTGAGGTGGGGGCTAATGGGCAGGAGGTCCTGTTCCCAAATTCTCCAACTACCTCCTCTCATTCTGTGTCTTCATGGGATCCTTCACTCCCCCTTAGGACCTAGCCAAGATGGAAGGCTGGAAGTACTAAGATGTAAGCTTCATGAAGACTGGGATTTTGCATTGCTGGTCCTCTGCTATATTCCCAATGTGTATGACACTACCTGGCACATGGTATCGACTGAGGGTTCATTTTATGAATAAAGGAGTCAATGATATGTCCTCAGGAACATCTGGGTAGTTACTTAAAAATGAATGGATTGACAGGGGTACCCGTGTGGCTAAGCAGTTGAGCATCTGCCTTTGGCTTAGCGCGTGATCCTGGGGTCCTGGGATCAAGTCCTGCATTGGGCTGCCTGTGAGGAGTCTACTTCTCCCTTTGCCTATGTCTCTGCCTCTGTGTTTCTCATGAATAAATAAATAAAATCTTTAAAAAAAATGAGTGGATTGACAAAACTACTGAGCCAGTAAAAAGATTGGTGGTTGCTAACGGTTCAGGGTAAAAGTAGGGGAGGGATGAACAGGTGGAGTGCAGGAGAAAGAGCAACACTACTCTTTTTGATATTGTACTGGGGGCTCCACGACACTATGCACGTGTCAAAACCCACTAAACAGCACTGCACAAAGAGTGAGCCCTCATGTCAATTGTGGTCTTTAGTTTACACTATAGTATCAATACTGGCTCATCAGCTGTACCCACCAGTGCAAGATGCTAGTAACAGGGGGAACGGTGTGGGGGAGAGGAGGTATATATGAGAATGCTGTACACACACAAAACTACTCTAAAAAACAAAGTCCATTATTTAAAAATGAATGGATCTACTTTCAATCATCGAAACTCTTACTTCTGAATCACAGAGGATGTTTCAGATTATAAAGTACCATGAAACGGAAACAGAGTCAAGAGTAAGAGCATCCTAACACCCTCACGGGAGCCGTCACTGAGGATGGATAACACTGTAGCCCTTGTGCTCCTCCTGAGAATCCATGGATGCCCTCTTTTATGTTCTTTCACAGTTTCTCAGAATCTCAACTCTTTCCCCCAGAATTATTTTCCATCTTCTCTGCTATTCTTAGAGCCTAATTATGTCTAGGCATCATAATTAATGAAGCCGTAAGAGAACAGTTATGCTGCCTTATAACAAAATCTGCTAGCCCTTCAGTGAAAAATTTGTAAAACTAAGTACAGTTTATTCTGATAATATCACAACACACCACCACATATGCAAATAAAACGATACCATTTATCTCCACCACTTCTTATGATATGCTAAACTTGAGAATAAACAAATACGGGCTTAACCTTTCTGCAAATATATCTTGGAGGCACAGTGTCAGTAAAGCCCTAACCCCTTTCCTTTTCTACTTGCTCTTTCCGGTAAGACCAAACAGGGAGGGGGGCCGTTCCATCTAGAGCCCCTCCCTGTGTCAATGCTGTTGCACTGTTGGCAAGATGAGTCAAAACCACATTCAAACCTGAAACGAAAGGTCTGCACAAGAGCTACTGGTAGCCCTAAATCCAATGACAGGAAGTAGAAGAGAACAGGAACCCATCTGAATCAGCTGTCTCTGCTAGCTTTGTGTGGCTAGGCCACTGGCAAGTCTAGATTTGCCTGGGGAAAAAAATCTGGGCTCAATAGTGGCTCATGTTAGTGAATTCATGTGTTCAAATCCCAGGCTCAGTTCCAGAGCTCAACACACGACCCCTTCATTCAGCCAAGTGGTAAGACGTGCCATTGTTCATGGGCCTGGGGGGGGGGGGCGGGGGGGGGAAGCGGGTTCAGGCTAGTCAGTCTGGGGTGGGCAGCTGCAACGATGCAAAGTAGATGATGCCCTGCTGTGTAGCTGGTCACGTAGATAACACACACACTCTCTCTCTCTCTCTCTCTCTCTCTCTCACACACACACACACAGAACATGTGTGCCCAAAAAATCTCGCATGTATTCAACACACTGCCAATATCCATAAGGGGTCAGGCCCTCACAAATCTCCAAATACCATTATCACATACACTTTCTCCCATAAAATGCAGTAAAAAGTAAGTAAAAAGCAACTTTCCATTAGGGCCATATTTTTCCCCCCAAATAAACCCATTTTAGCTTGTAGAGAGTTACTATGTATAGGTGAAGGGGCAGGAAGACCTGAGGGGCTGGCTAAGCTCACACAAGCAGCTGGGTGAGTCCCCCCTGGACCTTGGTTCTCCTGGGAAGGTCATTTGTGAACAGCCAAAACAGTAAATGTAGAATTTCTGGATGTGAGGCATCCTCTCTACACAACTGAATTTCAAGCTATTTTTCCAATCAGTAATTTGATGATGACTATCTAATTTTTTTTTTTTCTTTAACAACTGAAATAGTTTTTCATGAACTCTCAAGTCATCTTACCCAGAAGAAAATAGTCTGGCTTTCCGGATTTTTCTTAAACCTAGGAATGCTTTTATGAAAAAAGTCTATCAACAATATACCAAACATGCCTGGTATATATTCCTGCTAAGGTAACAAACTGGACTTTTAGCTGTTTGTCTCAGTTTCTAACTTTTTTTTTTTACAGATTTTATTTGAGAGAGAGTGAGCAAGTGAAGGGGGTAGGGAGTAGAGGGAGAGGGACAAGCAGACTCCCTGCTGAGTGTGGAGCCCAAGGCAGGGCTCAATCTCATGACCTGGCAAGCATGACCTGAGCTAAAATCAAGAGTCGGATGCTTAATCGACCGAGCCACCCCGGACCCTCTAACTTCAATCTTTTACTCATCTATTCACTGACGTAGCTGATGAAGATTTTAATTTAGAATGGATAAGAAATCTGCTAAAGACAAAACTGTATATAATATTAACAAATTTTGCTATTTCTGCTTTTTATGTGTTTTCTTCCCAACAATAAACTCCTTTTAAAAAAATGTGGATTTTGATGTTTGATGTCTTTTTAAAATTTGTTACATTAAATCTAAGTTTACTGATATGATTTAAAATTTGACAGCAGAGCCGATGATCTATTTAGTTCAGGGGCTGTATTCATGATTTGCTTTGGTGTCGAAATATTTAAAGGAGATTATTAGGAAATTTTTTTTTTTATTAGGAAAATTTAAAAATAATCTCAATTGTACCTAAGAATCCAAATCTCAGGGGATGGCAACCCCATCTTCCAGTTCCTCAAGTCTAAACCCTTTAGTCATCCTTGATGCCTCCCTTTCTGCCACACGCCACAGCCACGGTCAGCAAATCCAGTTGGCACTACCTCCAAACATACCCTCAAACCTGCCAGTTCTTGTTGTCGTTGCTGTGCCTGCCCTGGTCACACCGCCACCCTCTCTCACCAGGGTGACTGCAAAGGCAGATTTGA